CTCTCTCTGAAATCAATAAAGATATATTTAAAAAANGGCAGCTGATGAATCATTCTCATCATTGATGTTTCTATTTCTCTTTCCCTCTCCCTTCCTCTCTCTGAAATCAATAAAGATATATTAAAAAAAAAAAAAAAAAAAAAAGCCTTAAGTTCTAAGCTCCAGGTAGCCTTGGGTTCAAATCCTGGGCTTTAAGTAGCTATGGCCATATGGGCCACTTAACTTTTTTCTCAATAATTTATCTAAGCCTCAGTTTCCTCCTCTCTAAAACAGAGATAATGATACCTATCAAAATAAGGCTGATAGAAAAATTTAAGGAAAATGTAAAACCCTTAGCTTAGTGCCTAGTGTGTATGGTAAGCACAGATGGCAGTCATTATTAGGGGTTAACAGTAGGAATTTAAAAACATGAAACTCCTGTAGGAAGGAGTTTGAGAGTGGGTTCAATCATTCTACTACACCTACCTCCATCCAGAGAAAGGGGTCTTGGAGTTTTATAATTCTCCACCCTTCTGGGGAGTTTTGTTTGTTTATTATCCTCACCTGAGGATATTTTTTCCATTTTCAGAGAGTGGAAGGGAGAGAGGGAGGGAGGGAGAGAAACACCCATGTGTCATTGGTTGCTTGCCGCAGGCCCCTGGCCAGGGCTGGGCCTGCGGGAAGCCTGCAACCGAGATACTGCCCTTGGCCCCAATCAGACCGAGGCCCTTCAGTCTGCAGGCCAACACTGACCACTGAGTCACACCGGCTAGGGCATGGAGAGTTGTTTTTTTAAAAAATATATCTTTATTGATTTCAGAGAGAGGAAAGGAGAGGGAGAGAGAGATAGAAACATCAATGATGAGAGTGTCATTGATCAGCTGCAGCCCGCAACCCAGGCATGTGCCCTGACCGGGAATCAAACCCCTATCACCTGGATCCTAGGTGGACGCTCAACCGCTGAGCCACGCCCGGCGGGGCGGGCATGGAGAGCTCTTAACTGGCAGGATAATCATCCATTTAGAGTCCTGATGTAATGTGGATTGCAAGTAAACCAGGTTCTTGCTTACTATTTTATCCCCCTTAATCTGAGATGGCTGGGTCTACAGGGCAGACTCTGACCTAACACACACTCTTTATTATTTTTAAAATTAAATCTATTGGGGTGATGTTGGCTAGTAGCTAACTTACATTCCTATTTTCTGGTGAAGGAAGAGAAAGGTAAGTATGGCCAGATTAGTATTGGCTTCTAGGAGGTGGCAGTTGTGGGGAGGTAAATATATGGGGGAAACTAGCGGAAGGTGATTAGTAAGGTTAGTGGGTGATGCGGAGTCTAAGAGCCCTCTTAGAGGCAAGAGAGAGGGAAACACCTTTACAAATGGGCATTTATGTCCTGCTTTTCAAGCAAATGTGTTGGGGGGGGGGGCAGACAGCTTTTGGTGGGGGTGCTTCAGCTTTCTCAATTGTCTTTAGCTAAAAATAATCCTCTGTCAAAGTGGCATACTTTGGGGTGGCACGTTCTAATCCCCTACAAAAAACAGAAAAAGTATGCCCTCTTCTGCCCGGAGGAAAGAGGAGATTGCCTGGGTGTGCTCACTTCAAAGACACGACATCAAAGACGGAGGCCTGGGCTCTTGCCCGCAGGTCATACCGGCCCTCGATGTCAGTGAAATGTGGCCGATGAGTGTCCTCAGTGCTGTCCAGCTTGGGAGGAGGTCGTTAGGCTTACGTGCGAAAGGATGAGAGAGGGATGTTTTCTTGGTGGCGCCAAGCACGCGTACCCGGGGCCACAAACGGCAGCTGCTCCCTAAAGCGCGCGCAGCTGCGCCTCCTGCAGGGCTCTCCCGGAAGCCCGCCGCCCCCAGCCCGGCCGCCGGGTCGGCTGGGTAGGTCTGGCCGGCGGCGCCCTGTTACTTTCCTCCTCTCAAGCACCTTTGAACCGTGTTTACGTGACGCTCATGGGCTCTAATAAAACAAGTCAGTCCCGCCCATGAAAGCCGGGAGTTCCTCATGGAACACACGCCGCCGTAGGTGAGGTGGCCACCCGGACGCTGGAGGGCACGGCCACCACAGTGCGCCTGCGCCACGGGGTGGTGCCAAACCGCGAAGGCCCGGCGGGTCGCTGTGGTGTGCGGAAACCATGGCAACGGCTTGAGACGTTTGCTACGCCGTACGTGATGACGACAGGGGAGCGCCCCTAGCGCCGGATTGTGACGCGATAGCGGCGCAGTCTCCGCGGTCTCGCGTGACCGCGGGCGCAGCCTCACCCTCCCAACAGCCTCAACGGCGGAGGCCGGCGGGCGAGGTCAAGATGGTG